ACCCCCTCCTCCACTTTTCCTGTTCAGTGTTCATCCCTTCAGTTTTTCTCCGAGGGTCCCCACCACCCTCCATCCCACTCCTCCCCAGCAGCCACTCTCGCGCTGCCGGGGAGGCGGGCAGGAGGGGGAAGGGGGCGCCTGCACTTACATCCAGTTCAACAATTTCAGGAAATCCAACTCTTGAACTTGAAAAGCCTGGGAGGATGCCACAGGTCTGGGAGCCCGGTGCTGCGCTTCCCTCCCACAAGACCACACACCCCCTCCCCTTTCCCTTCCCCCTCCACGACGGGATCATCCCTCCCCACCCCCCACCCGGGACTAGAAACAGTACGGAAAAGCCAAGGGGTGACTCTAAGGCTCCCTGGAGAATTAGAGCTTCTGTTGTTTTAAGGAGCAGCCCCGTGGCCCATTCCAGAGGTTGTTCGAAGTGCATTTGTGCAAGTATCATTTCAGTGAAGCCTGGCCCTTAGATCTGCAAAGCTCTTTGAAAGCTCCCAAAGTCTCTTTCCAGCGGAAGGTTTCATGAATTGGAAGGTCCCTGGGAGCTTGAAACAATAGAAAACCACCCAATCCCAAAATGAAAAACAACGTAAAATGATTTTCAAAACTTTTTTTTTCTTTTGCAGGTGTTAAGAATTAGACGCAGCTGTTTTTCAGGACTCACTGCCTTGCATAATTTCACCCTATGGTTGAGCAGGAAATACTTAAAAAATGCTGCCCACTTACACATCACACTTTGCCTTTGAAACCACAGTGACATTTGCTGAAGAAAAGATATGTCTTTTTAAGTCAGAACTGGGGGGAAGAAGGGAGAGAATCGTGTTTATTTTTATCACTGCGGCCTTACAATGCCTACCTAAGGGGCTGGTCAGGGTGCGCCCAAAGGGGAGCGGAACTGATGGAGCTCTGGGTGCCCCCACTTGTCCAGTGACATCAACGAAAGCTAAAGCATTCTCAGTACAAACCCCGGCATGTTGGAGATGCTTTAAATCTTATCCCAAGAATCGCACACAGTGAAAGGAACGCTTTAAATCTTATCCCAAGAATCGCACACAGTGAAAGGAACGCGGCGCCAGGCACGTGCCTGAGAAAGAAAGAAAGGCTTGAGGGGGCAGTGCGGGCTGGGAGGGAATTTGAGCTATGTCTTCCAGGCAGCTGGTCCAAGGGCTTCGGCGCCAAAGCCTGGAGCCAGAAGGTGGGGGCTTGTGTGCCACGTCTTTCCCTTGGCTGCAGGGTACAAGCCACGTTACTTAATTGTGCTGTGTGTCAGTTTGCAACCAGGAAAATGGGTATAACAGAGTAGCTATCTCTGAGGGTTGTTATGAGGATTCAGTGAATTCATACAGAGAAAGTGCTTACAGTTTCTGCTGAGGTGCAACAGATATTAAGCTATTATGACTATAATTATCCCGCAGGTCGGGGAGGTGAAAAGGAAACTATTTCTACAAGGCTACAGGAAGACTGACTTGGGAACATTCATTAAATGTTGCAAACTCCCTGTCTCCTTGAAGTCTTTGTTCAATGAGCTCCATCCTACTGGGTCTATTTAAAATGGTAACTCCCTCCCTCCCCCACCTTCATTCAATTCTATTTTTTCTTTTTCCATGGCATCTGTGACTTGTAACATATCACATAATTTACTTCTTTAAAAAAAAGTGGCTTGCACCACCTCTTACTTCCCAGGCCAACTCAACTCTACAAGATCGTGGGCTTGTTCTGCTCACTGGTATTGCCCCAAATTCTGGAACAGTGCCTGGCATATCCTGTGCACCCAGTAAATGATGATAAGGGATAAGTGTATTCATTTAGCAAATTTATTCTATACTGAGTGCTTATGGCGGGTTGGGTACTGTGCAATTAACTTTAAAAAAAAAAAGCTAAAACATACTCACCAGGCCTAGCCAAGGATAAAAGAAGCTCCCTCTGGGAGAAGTACACTCGCTGGTAAAGAGGAGTATCCACAATGTAGGCGATGCCAGGTCCGTGGAGATGCCATAAAAGAGTATTCAGAGACTGGAACAAAGGTTTATAGAGGTTAAAGTCAATTTTCTTAAAATAAGAAGTAGCTGACATTTTGGTGTAAATCAGAACTTTGCCCTAAGGATGATTAATACATTGTACTTGTCACCACCCAAATTTTTACCAAAATTCTAACTAAAGGTCACTGGAACCTTGCCTTTTCTTATTAAGAAATTTAAAAAAAAATTTTCTTTAGGACAAACCAATACAGATCACTATTTAAACACTCATTTATGGAAGAGGAAAATTCTAGGTCTTTATTAGGCACACCAGCCGCTGAAATAAAAGTGGGCCCAATCCAGGTCCCTGCTGACAAGGTTAGGCCTCAGGCAGCCCCTTTTAAGCTCTTGACCCAAATGCAGCCAAACTTTGTGACAAACGCTGGCATGAAAGAGGTGCACTGAGCCATCAGATTCCTTCACTGGAATGCGAACCTGTGTGCGCACACACACACACTGCAGCATGAATCTAGAACAAAAGCTAAGAGGTCATGACTATCTGAACTCCAGACTCTAGCAGCTGCAGACTGTGACTTGTAACATATCACATAATTTACTTCTTTAAAAAAAAGTGGCTGCCCGTGGACCAGTTAGATGTACATTCCGTGTTTATCTTTTGATCCCCAGTGTGTCAACATTTAAAAAAAATAGTTGCTCACATGTAACCATCAGAAAACTTCATGCAAAAATACGGTTTTTCGGCTTGCCTTGAACACCCTGGAAGACCTGGCGTTGATCACGTTGTGGGCCCGCACGGCCACAGTCAGCTAGAGCTGGGGAACCCCACTCCCCCTGGACAGGGCATGCAGCTTCCAGTTTGCCACAAGCCCAGGCACTTCCTACCCCCCTCCCCTTCTCTTGTTCCCAACCTACTCACCTGTTCCCCTGCCAGCAATGCAGCTAGAGAAGGGAAGCTGGCACATCTCAAGACAGGGCAAAGAAGCAGATGCCCCCCTAGGGCCTTGGGATCAAAAGCACCATCCACTTCCTGTTCATCCAGAGGCCTGTTCTGCTACTTTTCCTTTGTTTCCAGAACAGCGCCTGCCCACCCCATGCCCATGACGCACATCCATCCCCAAAGACGTACCAGACTGAGTTCGGGGTTAGGTGTTCGTCCAAAGTTATACGCAGACAAGAACGGACAGGACAGGGATCCCTGATCCCAATTCAGTGCTCTTGAGCTACACTGTACTCCTTCCAGGTCTGATGGTGTCCATCCTACTAGGGAAACCCACTTCAGTTTTACAGAATCATGGCATTTAATGCCTTGGGATCTGATCTATAACAGGTAGGGAATAAACTGAACTGAGGTGTTCAAGGTCTGATCTCCAGGTTGGACTTCCTTCCATAATACTTCAACTTCAACGTCTCATACTATGTCAAAAAATACTTGCCAGTGAAGGAAAGCCTCATATCCTTCCATAACTTAGCTCCTTAATGTAGATGGAACACATGGAGGCCCTGGAAAGACCCTTTGCTGATGCCTGGTACAGAGGTTGTGAGGAGTATAGGTAGGTCCCCCAGGCCTGGGCAGTGTTAAAACACACAGTTTTTCAGGCCCTCTGAGCTCCAGTCATAAAATAAGTTAATGTAGTTACTCATGAGAAATACTCATCTAGATATAGAACTTGCATCAGCCCTCTCTATACATCAGCAGTATCGCACCCTCCATAAAAACGGGACCATTAGAGAATAAGCTGAGCATCTGATCTAACGCCAGGGCGTAAAATCGGTGACCTTTGGCCCAGCAGCAAAGCTTCATGCGCACGTGAAAACTAGCTTTCCTGCCTTCTGCTCTCTTCTTAACTTCCAGAAGAAAACTGAGAGCCCTGAAGTTTGTTCTTTTTGGAAGAAGTTTGGATGATACAGATAAAACAGTTTTCGCTTCCTTTTCTTGGTAGCAATGGGGTATTTCTGGTATATTGTTTTTTTTTTTACTCTCTTCTTTGTCTTTGGAAATATCTGTCATCCATTCTAAAGGGCTAGTATTTAATTCCATCTGATTGTACAGGGTGTCCCCTCAAAAATTTATACACATTTAACAGTGTGTATAGTATTGTTGTTGTTTTCTTTTCAGATTTAACCCATTGGGATTAATTATTGTTCTGCAACTCATCGTCCATCATCTGCAGAATCTCCTATATCTTCACCTTTTTTTCTAAACATTTTGTTAGCCTTGGTGCCCTAACTCAGTGGTTCTCACTCCCTTCGGTCTCGGGGTACTCTGAAAAATTACTGGGGACCCCAAAGAGCTTTTGTTTGTGGGTTATATCTATCAATACTTCCTGGATTTGAAATTAAACATTAAAATTAATTTATTATAAAATCACTGTAATAAAACTATCACCTATTTTATGAAAAATCACTATGTATTTTTCTAAGTCAGGGGAAGAATGGCATTGGTTTACATTTCTGTGGATTTCTTTAACTTCTGGTGTAATAGAAGACAGCTGGGTTCCCAACCACTTCTGCATTCAACCTGTTGTGTTATCACACGTCACATAGCCTCTGGAAAATTCCACTGTACATTTTTGAGAGAATGAGAATGAACGGCAAAAAATATCTTAGTATCACCATGAAAACAGTTTTGGATTTGTGAGCCTCTGAGAGTTTTCAGGGACTCCCTGGGTTCCCAAACCACACTTGAGAACCACTGTTCTAACTGAACCCTGGCTTTCCCCGGAGGGCCCTCTTCCCCCCCAAATCCTCTCTCGGTGGTTCCTCTCTAGCACTCTGTATCACTGGACTGTGATAAAGAGTAGTTGTTTTCCTTGCCTCCCTGTGCCCTGGCCTGCAGGCCAGGTTAGAGCATGCAGGTCAGTGGTTAGAGCATCGGCCCTCACACCAAAGGATCATGGGTTCAATCCTGATCAAGGGCACATACCAGGGTTGCAGGATTGATCCCCAGCCCCAGTCAGTGCATGTGTGGGAGGCAACCAATCAATGTGTCTTCCTCACATCGATGTTTCTCCATCGTAATGAGGGCTAGATGAGGTCATGAAGATGGGGCCCTCATGATGGGATTAGTGGCCCCTTTAAAAAAACAAGAAACCTAAGAGGCAACACTAAATGGACACAAAGGGACATAAGACTCTCTCTTTCTCTCTCTCTCTCTCACACACACACACACACACACACACGGGTACCATTACAACACTCTCTCTTCAGACAACTCTATGACATACACGCTATTATTATCCCCATTTTACAGATGAAGAAATTGAGACTAAAATAAGTGGTTTAGTCCTTTCCCAAGGTCACACAGCTCTTCAGAGGTAGAAATAACCACAAGCACACAGTTTTCTTTCCCATTGTAAGTTCTTCCCGACTTTTTCCCAATTTAGGAAGAGGGAGTTGCAGAGCTGCTTGGGGAAGATAAATATTCTCATCCAAACCACCAACTATCGGGAGGCTGCCTGCCTGCTGGATGTGGGGAATGAGGAGAATTCTGCAGTGGTAGAAAGTGGGTGGAGCAAAGATGCCCCGTCTGCTAGAACAACGGTCCCTGGCAGGGCCTGGTGTCCACTCCAGTCAAGGTAAGCCACACCGACGTGTAGATGGCCGCCCTTCACAAAGACTCTCTGTTCGTTCTCCAGCATTAACCGGGGAAGTTCTGGCCTAACAAGAACACAGACCCTCACTCAACACCTGTTTCACTTCTCCTTATAAATATGATACTCACAGTACCAGAGTTTGGGTGTTTCGGCCTGGCTTTCATCAATGAAGTCTGTCTTAGGTCTCCCAGCTGGACATTTCTTAAATTGATCTCTGAGGAAGGGTGATATCACAGGATGTGCCCAGTGTTGCTGGAGAAAGATCCCTTAGTTCAGTGGTTCTCAACCTTCTGGCCCTTTAAATACACTTCCTCATGTCGTGACCCAACCATAAAATTATTTTCGTTGCTACTTCATAACTGTAATGTTGCTACTTTTATGAATCGTAATGTAAATATCTGATATGCAGGATGGTCTTAGGTGACCCCTGTGAAAGGGTCGTTTGACTGCCAAAGGGGTCGCGACCCACAGGTTGAGAACCGCTGCCTTAGTCAAATAATGTTTGGAAATACTGCATACAATAGCGTGATATTGCATGAGTATGTTAAGAACTTGGCCCTAGCTGGTTTAGTCCAGTGGATAGAGTGTCGGCCTGTGGACTGAAGGGTCTCAGAGTCGATTCCGGTCAGGGACACATGACCAGGTTGCGGGCTCGATCCCCAGTGTGGGGCGTGTAGGAGGCAGCCGATCAATGATTCTCTCCCATCATGGATGTTTCTATCTCTCTCTCTCCTTCTCCCTTCCTCTCTGAAATCAATAAAAATAAAAATATTTTTTTCAAAAAAATAACTTGGTGGTGGTCTGCAGGGGAGAAACATTCAATAATTTCATTTCTTTCCATGGAATACTATTAACAGTTGAGGATCTAGCGTTCCACAGTATAATTGGGGAAATGCTGTCCTAGAGAGAAGACTTGTATGTTGGCCAAATTTGCTTTGAAAAGAGCCCAGGACTACATAAGATCAAGAGGAAATCTTAATTGAGTCTACTTGGTAGCCTGTGCTTTCTGCTTTTTTAATTTCTTGGATGACTAATCTACCAATAATATCCTAAATTTACTGGGAAAAATTATCCCCGCTCACTTGCCACTACAGAAACAAAACGAGTGACTTTGAACAATGATTTCCCCTGACCTGTCCAGCCGCGAGAAGGGGTGACGATCCTGAGTACAGATGTGAGCTGAGGACATGAGCTTAGCATGATCAGGGCTCCCTGGATCCCAGCAGACAGGGACTCCTCTCACCCTTACAGCTGCCTGGGCTGCATCCCTGACCTGTCCCGCAGGGGAAGACCCAGGGCCTGGCTCGGTGCCTCCACTGAGTCGACACTCAATAAATCTTTATTAAAGGAAGGAAGGGTGGGTGGAAGGAAGCAGATTGAGGTTTGGAGATGTTAACTTGCCCAACTTCGCGCCTCTAGCAAGCCGGAGAGCCAGGAGTCAGAGGCAGGACAGCGTAGCTCGTCCACACCTCGCCAGGCTGCCAAGTTGTTCATTAACTTGCACACGGCCAGCTTCTAGGAGCTGGCTGGGGCTCTGGCCACATTTGCTCAGTGTGTTAGCTTTGGCCTTATTGTAACTTATGCCATTAAAATTGCTGTGTTTATACAGCACTGTTGTTGTTGTTTTTGCAGAATGTTTGAAAATAATAGCTAAAACTTAGTGCATGCTTCCTATTTCCATGCACTTCACTGAGAACTTGACACAGCTCATTCCCCATGACCATCCTAAGAAATAGGTGCAGTCATAACCCCATTTTATAGACCAGGAAACTGAGAGATTCTCTGACAACTGCTAATTAAGTGGTGGAGTCAGGATTTAAACGGAGTCAGTTTGACCCCAAAATTCCTGGCCCTTAAGCCTCTTTGCTAAATCCACTCCTTCTGTCCAATCACTGACATCGTGAGCGAAGGACAAGAGAGAAGCAAGTACCACCCACAGCTGCATCATGTATTTATTTTGTGAGTTTAACTCTTAAAAGCATCCACATAGTTTGAAGCACATCACCAATATCAACTAATGTCATTCTCCTCATACCACAAAACAGCGGTATGAGGCTGGCGCCTTATTATTTCCATTTCACAGATGAGGAAACTGAGGCATGGGGAATTAGAGAATCTGCCCAAAGTCCCACAGCAAGTGGCAGAGCCAGGTTCAAGCCCAAGCAGCCTGGCTCCCTTGTCCTCGGGCTTGCCCACCCAGAGAGCTGCCAGATAAGAACAAGGAGGCCCCTCATTGAGAGGTGAAGTCCTCTCCTAAGACCTGTGGCTACAAATAAACAAACAACCAGTCTCTAAGAGGAATGCAGAGCCATCTGCGGCCCTGGAAGCCTGGAGGTTAAACCCAGCCAGGGACTTGAATGACTTAATCACTCTTCAATTTGGATTTCCTGACTGGATGGGTTCCTGTCCTTGCTACTTGAAATTAAGAGCCAATTGTTTATTTGCATTCTTGTGGGAGGGGTGGCCGTTCTCCCTGGGCCGCTGGTTCTGGGAGAGTAAGCTCTCAGCGGGGCGTCAGGCAGGTAAAGGGGACCAAATAGATGTGTCCAGTGAGCTGGCAGGCGTCAGCCAACTCTTGCTTATTCCGCAGGGCCCCTGGCTCCCCTCTTCGCAGGAAACCTGCCCTGGGGTCAGCTCCCAACTCTTCCGCATCCCTGACGGGGGAGCAGGAGGAAGGAAAGGAGAGAGAACAGGCGTGAGTGGGGGGTTTTTGTTAGGAGGAGAGGCAGGAGGTCTTCTGAGGAAGCGGTGAGAAGTGGCAACCACAGCATCTACAGAAATGAGGTTGAGCCGTGAACAGTGAGTCCCGCTTAGCACAGTGTGCCCGGAGCTACTGGGCAACGACAAGGGCTCCGGAAGGGGAGGGAGTGATGTCTGCCTGGCCCAGGGCAGGCGCTCAACGGATAGATGCCAGACAGCTTGTGATGTGACTACAGGCTCCCAGCACCTCAAAGAAGCGGGCTTTATTGGGTCCATCCGTGCCTGCCCCTCTACCTGCTCACCAGAGTGACCACAGGGCTGCTGCTGTGTGAAGGTTGACTCATTCCGGTCACTCTTCCTTTCCTTCCTCCTCACCCTGGGCCAGGTGAGCTGCTTATGTTTAGGTCCAGGGTACAGGCTATGGAACCAGGTGTCAGCGCTGGTCCAGCAACGCACCGGTGCGGACTTGGGCACACGACCTCCCCTCTTGGGGCCTGGAGCGCCTCATCCTCTCGTACCCCATCTAAACACCCACTTCCCCTCCAGGAGCAAGGCCCGGAGTGTCCTACCCCCCATCCCAGGCGGGGCGCCCTAGCATTTGGTTCTCCTTCCCCTAGAGCCTTTCTTTGCCTACACCTGGCACACTGATCAGCTCACCTGTGTTTCCGCTCACAAACCACAAAATGAATAACAGCATTATTGATCTCTGAATCCCCAGTATAGTACATAGGCAATGCCTGGGATATAACCAGAGGCTCCGTAAAAGATTTTATGGGAGAAAAGAGGGAAAGCGGGGACGGAGAGGGAATGATAGATGCAGAGAAGGAAGGTCAGACGTAATCAATTACGCCTTTAGAACAGTAGGCACAGTTGGAAAAATTCTAGGAAGCTCCTACCCACCCACCCAAATGCCTTCTTCGCTTACCTAGTGTCTCAGATTTCCTCCTTGGGAGATCTGCTCCTTGCAGTAAAGACAGGGTCTCCAGGATCTCCTTGTTTCTTTCCCAGGGGTGAGGTGTTGAACTATCAACAGCAAGCACCTCAGCATTCCCGTACAAGATGGACTTTCAAAGGGCAAGTGGGGAGAAAGCACGTCAACACTTCGGTGCTAGAAGTAGAGGAATGAGGCCCCTAAAAGGGAAGGGAACGATCCGTGGCTTTAAAAAATGTCAATCTCAATGAGTCAGAGTCATGAGAATGAGAACATGCCATTTCATTCCCACTGTGCCCTGCCCTGCCCACCCCATTGTCCCTCACGTACACGCGTCACTCGGAGAAAGTTCCCCTCCCCAGGCTCCAGCCGGTGCCCGTTCTGGGCAAGACCAGAACCTCTGGTGTCTACCCTCAGCTTAGGAGCTGGCAGAATAGCCTCTCTCTCTCTTTTCTTTTCTTTCCTTTCCTTTTCTTTTTTCAACTTTTGTACCCTTTCATTACTACTTCAGCCCTGAGTTTGGATGTGGTCAGGAAGAACACTCTGTCATGTGCTAACATTCCAGACGTGCGGAAGACCTCTCGGGTCACTTTGTCCAATTCTCTGCCTCATGCTCAACTCCTCTCCAGCACCCCCCAGAAGTGGGCAGCACCTTCCATAAGTGGGCAGCACCCCCCAGAAGTGGGCAACACCCCCCCAGAAGTGGGCAGCACCCCCCAGAAGTGGGCAGCACCTTCCAGAAGTGGGCAGCTAGCTTCTGCTGGAACCCTCTGAGGGGAGGGGTGTTCTCTGCCTCTCTCAGCAGCCACTCCATTCTAGGACATTCCAATGGCTAGGTAGAACCCCAAATCTGCCACTCTGGAACTTCTATGAAGGAGAAAAACAAGTAAAAACAAGTGCATTGTGTTAGATGACAGTTTGGGAAATTGTGCAGAAGTTCAAGGGTAAGGAAAAGATGATCTCTGTGCCTCATCTTTGAATAGACATATCTTTATCTACATAAACAAGTGTGATGGTTAATTTTATGTGTCAACTTGCCTGGGCTAAAGGATGCCAAGAGAGCTGATGAAACATTATTGCTAAGTGTGTCGGTGAGGACGTTTCTGGAAGAAATTAGCCTGTGAATTGGTAGACTATGTGGAGAAAATGGCCTCCCCCAATGTGATGGGCATCGTCCCATCCATTGAGAGTATAACTAGGACTAAAACAAACACAACGCAGAGGAAGGGGGAATTTGCCCTCTGCTTGAGTGGGACAGCCGTCTTCTCTCCCTCGGAAACGAGGGCCCCAGGTTCTCAGGCTCTGGGACGCAAGTTGAACGACACCACTGGCTCTCCCAGGTCCCCAGCCAGCGGAGGGCAGGTCATGGGACTTCTTGGCCTCCATAGTCACATGAGCTGATCCCTATCCTAAGCCTCCATTTACATTCATTTCCCAAAGGTTCTGTTTTTCTGTGGAACCCTGGCTAATATAGCAAGTATAACCAAACCCACTGTATCTTTTTTTATCACACTCCTTCATGGTCCTTTTCTTCTAGTAGAAACAGTAGTTATCTGTGGAACCATGGCTCTCAAACTTTTTGAACTCAATACCCCTTTATTTTTTTAATTAAATTTATTGGAGTGACATTGGTTAATAAGATCCTATAGTTTTCAAGGGTGCATTTCTAGGATACATGATCTGTATATTGCATTGTGTGCCTCTGTATACTCTTAGAATTTATTTGTGACTCAAAAAAAACCTTCGTTTTTTTGTGAATTGTATCTATCCATATTTTAATATGTTAAAAACTAAAACTGAAAAAAAATAAGTTTATTCATTCCTTTAATAACAATTTTAAGAACACAAGTAACATATTTTTGTGAAAACTGACTATATTTTCTAAAAGCAGCATGCTTACCATGCATACAGTGAGAAGAGTGGCATCGGTTTATTTCTGGAAGTTTCTCCAGTGCTTTCCTGCAGACAAAAACAGCTGGATTCTCGTATCTGCTTCTGCATTCACTCTGTAACAATACCTATGTGATGCGGCCACAGAAAAACGCCACTGTGGACTTGTGTGAGAGGAGAGTGGGAAAGGCAAATTATGTATTATTCTTGTGTGTTGTTACTATTATTATTAAAATCGTTTTAAGCTCACGGGCCCCACAAAAGGGTATCAAGCAACAAAGAGCAGCTACATAGTTTGTAGTGCAAACTGAAAATGTGGGGTGCCTTGCTCAAAGGTTATTAAGGCCCTAGCCAGTTTGGCTCAGTGAGTAGAGTGTCGGCCTGCAGGCCAAAGGGTCCCGGGTTCGAGTCCAGTCAAGGGCATGTACCTCAGTTGCAGGCTCCTCCCCGGCCCAGGCCCTGGTCAAGGGCATGCAGGAAGCAACCAATTAATATGTTTCTCTCACATGGATATTTCTTTTGTTTCTCCCTCTGTCTTCCACTCTTTCTAAAATCCATGATAGAATATCCTCGGGTGAAGATTTAAAAACAAAATTTAAAAAGTCATTAAGAATTTCCAGGCTGCTGCAGCAGAGCATGAAACTGAGCCTGGGGCCCTGCTACTGTAATACACTGCCTACATCTTGAATCAAATGGCTGGCTCAGGGCCATTAGTGTACAGCAAGGCACTCTAGAGGTAGGCGTGTGTGTGTGTGTGTGTGTGTGTGTGTGTGTTGGAGCTGCTGGAACACCAGGTATACATGGCACATGGTCATGAGCAATAGCAGATCCATAATGAGATAAAAGCATCACTAAAAAATAAAATTAAAAAAAAAAAGCATCACTAGTGCAGGTGTTCTGTGTGGGGGCCTACCTCAAAACCTTCTACCTAATTCAGCCTATTCGGTCACACTGAACACACACCACAGATGCATACAAACACACACACACCCCTCTAGCTGATGGGTTGTGCCCCTTGTATTCCTAATGGTCGCATACCCAGTAGTCAGATACTTGTCAGGGTTTCCTGTTTTGTGTTTTGTATTGTGGTTACAGGCTTTGATCAGCAAAACTGGTATCTACGGTCCCCATTTTCCTGTTTGGTGTCTGACACGTAGTAGGCACTCTGTGCATTAGCTGAGCTGAATCGGATAGTTCTGATGGTGAGCAGAACTTCTGCTTATTAGCTGCTGCTAATGGCTGGTGGTTGGCAGCACAAATACACCATGTGTCTCCTTCCTGAGAATGGGACTCGTAGGGGGCTCAGTAATCCCTCTCCTAACGGGTGGACTTGTATGTTCAGATGACAATAACATCATTCTCCAGCAACAAGCCAGCCACAGCCATGATGTTCCTGAGGCTCAGATACGTACACGGCTAATGAAGGTCATGAGTTTTCATAGTATTTAGAATGATGCCCTTAGAATCCCAGTAACAAATTAGACAATGCCAATGAACATTATATGCATTTATGAATATAATACAGTTTGTTTACAGTTTTGGTCAAAGCACCTATCTTCAGCATGGAGGGAAGTGACTGTGGCCGCTCTCCCACTCTAAGGTAAGGCTCACACAGTAGGGGTATTAATCCTTCATAAAGGGGCAGGATGTTCTTCTATTCCTATGGGAAGTTACTACTTTGCAAAAGACCCCAGGATCTCTCATTGAAATCTGCCATTTTCTAGATGGGGAAATTGAGGCTCAGAGATAAGAAGTGACTTACTGGTCCAAGATCACAGAGCTATTTAGTAGCAGCTCTGAGAGGCACACCCACTTCCTCTAATAATTAGAAAATGAACCATCCACACCGGGAGGATGTGGGCTTTCAGTTTGGTGTGGGTCCAGATTACTAAAAATTTAACCACTGATTCATCGGGGGATCGTTAACAAGTAAAGCCCAAATCATCTCCAAATCTAACTGGACGCCAAACCTCCCCCTACTGTCCTGAGCACCATCCCTTCCCACGTGTTCCCATGAAGCATCTTTCCCCCCTTTCATCCTCGTCCCCTCTACCAGCCTCCTTTCCTTCCTTCCAGTGTGCCTTCCTCACCTTGGGGAGAAGGAGAAACAAGCCTTTACATGACTGGCTGCTCCTTGTAGTTAAAATTCTATTTCTTTTCACCTGTTTCTGCCAAACTCCTGGACATGACAATATATACCCAGGGCTCCCTTTTCTCACCTCCCTTGACTTCCGTAAGCTTCACAGAATTCACCCACTCAAGGGTCAATGATGTGCTTGTTTCTAAATCAAATGGCTTTGTCTTGATCATAATTCTCCTTGACGTCAATTCAATGACCGTGTTTCCCTGATAGCGATATGATATTACAGAAGCTTTTATACATAAAAATAGGTCAGGTGTTAAAGGGCCAGTTGTTAATGGCTTGGGCAGACTGCGTGGCTCGCCTCTTGCTTGCACAATTGACTACATGGATCCCTTAAGCCAGTTGAGCCTCAGCTTCCGTATGTATAAAATGAGAACATAACAGTATCCAGCTCATAGAGTTTTGGTGAAAGGCCATGAAATATGCTTAGATACTGTCCGGCACATATTACATAGTCAATAAAAATGAGTTGTAAATGTAAGGCGACCAAGCAGAGTTTAAGTTTGCGTATCCACGGAAGAGAAGGTGTTATGCTCTGAAGTTACTGTTTCTCCTTGCTGCAGTCATACAGCCTTCCCTTGGCATAGTTCCTTAAAATACATCAATTTGGACGTTTGTTGAGGCAAAGGACACTCCCTTCCCAGATGGTTTCCATAAAGGGCTCAGAGATCTATGGGATCCATACCCCAACCACCCACGATTCATTTTAACGAGGAACAGATTGAAAGGAAACTTAAATTCGTGGAAAACCCATGGCTTGCAACAAACATCTCCAAGCGGCAATTCCACTTTCTGGGAGCTAAGTCCTTGTGTCTTCAATCCCCAGTTGCCTCCTAAACTTGCATGAGGCTTCTGAGGTTGATGCCCAACTCTAGCCACATATTTGAGATTTTTTCCAACTCACTTGTCTCTTTTCCTTGCCTCTGGCTGGTAACTGGAGAATGCATAATCTTTTTTTAAAAAAATATATTTTATTGATTTTTCACAGAGAGGAAGGGAGAGAGATAGAAAGGTACATGCCCTTGACCGGAATCGAACCTGGGACCTCTCAGTCCGCAGGCTGACGCTCTATCCACTGAGCCAAACTGGTTTTGGCGAGAATGCATAATCTTCATAATTTTTACTTACTCTAGGATTCCCTCTTTTCCGCATGGTGATGATGATGGAAGATATTTCTTGAGTGCCTACTGTGTGCCAAGCTTGTTACTAAGCACTTTAT